TATTATTATTATTATTATTATTTATTATTATTATTATTATTATTATTATTATTATTATTATTATTATTATTATTATTATTATTATTATTATTATTATTATTATTATTATTATTATTATTATTATTATTATTATTATTATTATTATTATTATTATTATTATTATTATTATTATTATTATTATTATTATTATTATTATTATTATTATTATTATTATTATTATTATTATTATTATTATTATTGTTATTATTATTATTATTATTATTATTATTATTTTATTTTTTTTTTCTTTTTTTTTATTGTTATCCAAAATTTTGCTATTTCGGTTGATCTGATCGCTGTAACCTAACATTAAAGGTTGTGAATTATTAACGATCATGCCATATGAAAGTCTTGGATACTGAAAATCAGCCTGGATATGCATATCAACAGTGGCAACATAACTTGTCTCATCTTCTTTTCCAGTTACCTGGATAATGTATCGCTCATCCACCGCAAGCTATAATAATTCATATCATTGCAAACAAACAACGGCTTTAGAGTTAGCTTGCAATAGTAAACAGTTGTTGAATAATATCATCAATCCTTTTTAGTACTAACATTCCACTTTCAATGTTTAGGAACTCCCATGGCTTTTAAGCCAATTAAACTAATTACTATATTATGAACAAAATATGAGACTGGATTGTAATATTCCTCTCTTTGACCTCATCTACTTATAATCATGTTTCTTACGCATTCCTAAAATTCTTTAAATCAATCCATCACTTTTTTTCCTTCCTTAATTATCTAATCTGCAACCTGGGCTAAAATCACCAATGCTATATGAATTTTGTGCAGTAACCTGCAGAATAGTTGCAAGTCAAGAAATGCAAGAAATTATAATCACTTTTATTTCATCTTAACAAAAGAAAGAATAAGAAAAAGAAAAAAGAAAAAAGTAAGACCTTCGCAGCGTGAATTTCGCCTTCAGTTGCATTCTTACGGTTTACACGGCTCTTAAATGCTGCAGCCAATGTATACAAAACTACCGGAGGCTGAAACAAGGATTTGTTTATTTACTGGATTTGTTTTACAACTTCAGAAAATGTAGACTCTTACCTGATCAGATAAATCGAAGAGATGATGAACATCGCAATACAATGTCTGACCATAATCAATCAGAAATACTGTACAACAACTTTTCTGGTTATCAAAATTACTAGCTACAGCTCTGCAACAATCAAATTCATTTGTCAGTTAATTAAGAAGTAATTAATTGTTTGTACAGAGTAGTACAAAATGAGAATAATTACGGATGAGTCCTTCTCTAAATGCTTTATGAAATGAACGCTGTAAGAATAAAAAGTCGATGCTATTTTAGGTTGGAATAAAGCAAGCGATTTAACATGAAAGGATTTTATGAACTTTTTCGAGGTATTCCATAAAATAAATCTTAATTCATAAAAGGAATATTTCAACATTTCGAATTGCAAATTTTGCTATTATAAAAACCTTTTAAAACAAGAAAAATTTGCGTGGCGCAAATTATTCGCCTTTTTTTGATTTTTGTCCTAATAGTATTAACTTAACCAACCGATAATAACGAGATTGTTTGCGCACTGGCCGTTGAATATGTGCAATACAGGCCAATGAACGTTTGTTGTCGATGTATGGCCATAAACCGTTAGATGGCAGTACAATTTGCTTAAAGTATAACTTTTAATTTGTTGATATTTGTCAAAAAATAGTAAAATTAAAATTTTTTCCAATGTGCTAAATAACCAGACGGGAGAATAAGATAGCATTGAAATACCACTGATAAGCAGTAGGGACATAGAAAAGCTATCATTCAATCTATGAAAGAAGTTAATGAAGAGGATCGAGAAGCTAATAGTCTCTGATAACTGACAACAGTTAATTGGATGCAATAAAAAATTTCCTGTAAATTTAAATAAGTGCCTCTACTTCACTTTTTGGAATCATTATACACAGGTTCAACCATACATAGGTACTTAAACAGATTTAATAGAATCAGTAACGTAGGTTAAATTCCTGAATGCTAGCGTATTCAATGAAATATTCCACATAACTCTTAAACTTCAGCTGAAAATAAGTGGCTATTGTCCTGAGTTTTGTTTGAGGACAGGGATGACAGTTGTATGTTCATCAAATCACTAACAAATCTTTGTATTAAATATTTGAGGATTCCTGGTAAAAATTTTCGATACATGTAGGTAAAATTGTCAGCTTTTTTAATTTCTAAGGAAAGTTTTTTGAATTTAGATCAAAACAACCTTGCTAATAATAGAACAGATAGAAGTATCACGAAGCCAATAATAATTATGGGTGATCTTCTCGGTTACCCGTACAGTCAATGTAACCGGTAACGGATAACCTAGAGTAAACTTATTGAATGAAAACGCTGATGGGCAATATAGTGGATAAAGTGAATGATTCACAGAAGCAATTTCTGGTAATCCCTGCAAGTGACAAATTATTAACGATAAATATGCTCGATTGTTATTCGGTGTAAAATATCTCTGACATAGCTGGAGAGGATAAAGAGTTTTGAACAGGTTTCTGAAATATCTTATGATGTCAACATTGGAAACCAATCCATTCTAATTATTTACTTATTGAGTTGTCAGTAAAAATAAATTTTATTTAAGAATTAATCATCTGATAAAGGAAGATACTTCTAAAAATATTTATTGATTTTATTTAACAACATTCTTGTTCTTATCAATTGAATAGCATGAAGAAATCTGATTTCGTTATCTTATAGGTAGTGAATGTTAAAGTACAAGGAGAAGGTTTTCCAGCTGCCTTAACCATTCGTTGTGATAGTGATAACGTTAACTTGTCAGTTCTGATCGACTGCCATCCTAATGTATGTTTTACTTTATCTGATTATCATTTGTCTGATTATCATTATCTTTGTACTTCTCTTCAATTGCCTATTGTACTGGTTTATCTGATTAAGACCCAATCACAGATTTTTGTCCAATTCAATCCTATTGGTGATGACCAATGGCACTACTTTTCTTGGTCTTGTAACTGGAAAGCCTATTTTGCCCATTAATTTGCATATGAAAAAATGCATTACCCATTTGCAGAATATTTCATCACGTAGTGATGTTCCACCAAAAACTCGAGCCAAAAGAGGTGGTGGATATGGTGAATTCATGAAACTCGGGTAATACCCATCCTTTGACAGTGATAGGGATTGGCCTGAACGAAACAGTTTGCAATATGCAGGATATATAAGTCTTTATTAAATAATTAACTTTTGAGCCAAGCATTCAAGAGATAATGACTTATTTTTCTTTAACACCTCTACCTATCTTGCTTCAAAATATTTCGAATTATTCTGAAAAGAGATAAATTTGGTTTTTCATACTGGTTTACAGTTTGATATTTGCAGTGGAGTGGAGACCTCTAAACGATATCATTTTAGAAATCATGAAAGAAGAACTTACCTTGATAGGAAGATGATAACGCAAATATGCATGTTGAACCAATGTTAAGCATTGAGAAGTGATCCATGTGGCAACTAACCGTACTTTCATAACCAATGCGACAGTTTGCCAGTACTAAAGGTACCGCCATTGGTGGCATTGAATGAAGTTCTACAGGCAATAAATAAATCGAACGTTGATCAACGAATTCGGTTTGTCCAATATCAATTAGGTATATCTGAAAAAGAGCAAATATACTGCAAGCTGATCGATTACTGATCACTTTACATTCTTTTCTCATTAATTTCTCCTAAAAATTTAAAATGTATCACAGTGGATCCTGAATATCGAATTGTGAGGTGCATAAGCAATGTTTCCATCAAATGAAACGGTCTTTCAGATTATTCAGATATTGCTATGATCATGTCATGATCAGATATTCAGGAAAAGAACTGCATTATTGAAACGGATTAGTCTGACAGTTAACATGATCTTGTATCTGAAGGTTATTTCAAGAAGAATATGGCTTCACCACAGTTTTGAGAAGTAAGCAAATATAAAGATGTTCTATGATGCCTTTGAGCAAAAAAAAAAGGACCTAAAGAACATTGCTTCTCATTCTAAACTTTTATTCCTGAAATATATCTACGGAGTTTACGGAGTATACCTTCATAAGAATACCTGAACGAATTTGAATTTCGCTGCTAACTCAAATACAAATGATTTTATTATACAAATAAGATAAGAACGAAAATTTTTAATTGAAAAAAGATTCCATTTTTCAACAAAATATTTAGTAAAAGAATAGAATTACTTGAACGGATCATGTTTAATCAATACGGTCTGATAATATTCCTCTATTTGAACTGCGATTTTGATTGGAATTTGCTGTTATTCTTGTCTGTTTGAATCTATCTGCTACTGACCCTCTCTTTACCGCAAAAATCCTATCAAAAGAAAGTGATATAAGAATGATATAAGAGTCAAAACTTCCGAAAACCTTTCTGGAAATTTCGAAGATGACTGAGAGTGAGGATATTAGCATATGCCGTCGTTTACGAACTAAGTCCTCATCACTGATAATTTATCTAAAAACTGATTGAGCGGAAATTTGTGCCCATAAGATCCGATTGACGCAAATCATTGTCACGGAAAAAGGAAAGTGAAGTCGACACTCACATATAAAAGCAATGTGGAATAGTTGTGGTAAGATATTCAAAGTCAACACATATGGGATTCTTGTTCATTAGTAATCTTTATTTGAACACTTAAATCCATTAATGAAAATGTTCAAATCGAAATTATAAAAAAGAAAGCTTAAGTTTGATGAGTAAGCGTGCTGTCCAGCGGAAATTCAATGCATTTCATGACATCATCCAAAGCAATGCATAATCAATTTCAACGTTTTGAATATGACAAGGTAAAAGGGTAAAGAGACAAAGGTACACAATATGTATCAAATGCACCTGATTGTATGGAAAGGAAATCAGATGGTCATTTCATGAAAAGATAGATTATTGCCTTGACATCACTGATTGCGGAAAAAAAACGATAAATCTGAACTGCTTAAAGAAAAAGCCTTCTGACAAAATATATTGCTACCAACTCACAAATTCAAGTAGGTAGAATCTTTCAAATATTTTCTAGAGATAAATCATATCTCAATTAAGTTTCATAGGAAAACAAGATTACTCATTCAAGCATGCTGAAAAGCACTTTCGATAAAGTTCCTCGAGGAGAGAATAAGTAAAATGAATGTATTATCTCGAAAACTGAGTATTCCAAAAAATGTATTTCGAAAAAAAATGCAAATCTGAGATTTACACATTTTTTAAATTTTCAAAATTTTTAAAACAAAATATTGAAAAAAAAGCAGTGTCAACCTGCCACTGTGTAGCCATTTGCCAGTTAAAGTACATATGAGCACATACGCCACGAGCCAAAACATTGCTGCCTTGTCGGCGTATTAAATAAACGTCTCCTTTAAAAAAGCTTCTAATATTAGGCTCTTTATACATCTAAAAAATATACATTCGAAGTTATTTCATAAAATTCCACACGAATACTTTTTAGAAATTAAAAAATAAAGAGAATTGTCTGAACTTGAAAAATACTTGCAAATTTTGGGGAAAAAATAAAAATCGGAAAACCATCGGAATTTTCTAAAGAACGAAAAGGTCACTTAACGATGTGCTATTGCATCTTTGTTTGGTGACCAAACACATGAAAGCAGAGAAATCAAACTTTTTCCAATAAAAATTTGAAAATGAAACTTTTTAAAATTGACGGGATTGTTAAAGGTTCAGAATATTACTTGAAATTTACATCAATAATCATTACACTTTAAAAAATAGAGTATCTCACCGATATTAATTTTATTCGGTGTTGCAGGACATAAAACCGCTCGCCTAATTTCGAATAAAAAATTTTGCAGTGCGCTGCATACCTCATCCAGGTTTTGTGGTCTTACATACAAGCAATTCTCTTTTCGATTCACGTGTAGAATGGTACCTTGCACAGGATAATCATAAGGCAACATATGACGTGGGTTGGAAGTGGTATTACAGCACAACTTAAACAGCACTACAAACAAACAAATCAATTGGCTGTCGCTTTCTAATTTACATAATTTGCATAGTTTGTTTATTGTAAGGTAATGAATGCGAAAAAATTCGAATTTTTTCATTTGAAATCTAAGTATGCATAATTTCAGAAGCTTTTTTTTCAGTTCAATAAATAAATAAAGTGAATAAAAAGTGTCTCCACCGTTCTAATTTTCTAATTATTTCTTTCAATTCATCTGTAGTAGTTCAATACTAGCCAGACATTGTTATTAAAATGCCATGCATTAACTCACTCTAATGCTGGGCAGTTCTTTCTCATTTTTCTTGAAATTTTTTTAAAAATATTTTCTGGCTAATTTTTTTCTTCAAAATTTCTTGAAATATGCCCAATCTCTTTTTTACAGCAAGAGGATATTTTGATATCATTCATACCAAAGTATTATTGCGATGAAAAAAAAGATTTTCATTTTTTTTTACGACAGGAATCAATTACATTGAACATACCCATTCTTTTGGGGTATACTTCATTTCCAATTTTAGAAAGAAAGTGCGAAGGTAGGATGCAATCGGTGGTTTCGTGATTTGTTGAATTGCAATTCAAACAACTCTGCCTTTCTGCACATAGATTCATCGAGAAATACTGATAATCCTTGAAATGATAGAATATTCCAATTAAATGTTCAATCATTAATAAATCAAATTTCCTATTGTTTCCATTTTGAGAAAAAAACAGGACGAGTTTAAAATCACATAAAAGGAAACAAACATGGCAAATTTTTAAAAGATTTAAAGGATTTAAATGACTTGTTCAGCATCAGACCTTCTTTACGTACATCTGAATATGCAGCGATTATCGTTTCCATATTTGACAATCATATGTTCCTCGGTAATTTTACTGATTTCGAGATCTCGTAAACATCAAAACAGTGTTAGTTGTGAGAGATTTGAAAAATAACCGCTTCAATTGTGGGACAAGCAAAAACCGATAATTTTGTTGCAAAATTTATTACAAAACCGATAATTTTGACCTTATCGCTGAGTTAAAAAAATTAAACTTTTATGTCTTAAACGCACCTGATGACCGATGCTGTCTTCCATGAATTCTTCAACCCATAAGGCTCGGCCACGTGTTCTCGAAGACATTGCCATTTCCTTGAGAAGTGATAGGACTGATCTGAAATTATTTTAAAATATTGATAAAGTAGCTAACTCATGTGTTACTTTTGAAACGCAGTAAAATAAACAAAAAACTTTCTCGGACTTGCAGACTAACGCAAGTACACGATGTCAATTTGGGTGACATTTAGTTGATCATTGGTGTTTTTAGCGCAATTAGCAATATAAAGCAAAGTGCAGAAAAAAAGAATTACAGCTTTTAAAAGCTTGAATTAAGAGCAGCAGTAAAAGGTGTGCATTCAGGTTGAAGAATGCATGATGTCAATGGGAAGTGTGAATGATAAACCTGTTGACGATAAGTTAGTTAGCAATTCAGTATGATCATGCACTCTTTCCTGAGTAGTGCATCGGAATATGCAAATGCACTGATGATTGCTGACGAATGCCTATAAGCTGACTAATAGTCATTACTACTCGAAATAGGTGGACAGATAGATGATAGATGACCAAGAAGAATAAAGAAAGTAATTTGTGAAATCTATGTAAAAGTTACCAATCGCTGTTCAAAAATGAAATTCAAAATGGAATGAATGCACAATAAAAAGATGACGCAAACATTTGGCACAACAAGATTATGACACTAACAAAAGAATTGTTAGTCGTCATTCTATATAAAATTCAAAAATTTGCATAATCAGATTACATTACTTTAATCTGATATTTTTTGTAACGTGAATTGGGATGTTTGAAAAGAAATTGATAGTGTGAAAAAGGGAAGAGAAAAAGAGCAAAATTTTGTATAAATATCAGAATTTGAAAAGGAATTGTTGCGAAATTTTTGATTGAATTAAAATGATGAAAATTCACTGCTGCCAGTGAATTAATCCATTATTCACCTCTAAATTTTTTTACTTTCTATCTCTGAACTGAGATTTTACAAAGAGAGAAAATATATAATTGTCTCCAATTTTTCACTGTCCATCACACTAAGATAACAGCCAGGGGACAGTCTGATGGGACCCTATAAGATAGCAGTCTATATCCTATGAGATGGTTGCCCGGGACAGTCTCATGTATTGCTCTTTTTATTATATTGCAATAAAATTATGCTGAGAGAGGAAGAACAATTGAAAGATACTCTTTCATCTTTTTCCTTTTGACCTATCATCCGATAACTCAAAAGTTGATAATTGATAATAATGCTTGACCTTTTTGGACCGAATAAATTTATGATTTACCAAGCAAAAGTAAAAAGGGAATCTTTTTTCTGTGTAAATTCCAATTCCAACGACAATTTACCTGCTAAATCTCTCTAAACAATTCAACATTTCAATTTCAAAAATGCATTCCAAATACATTCCAATGTTTTATTTTAAATTTAAAACTCCATATTTCGAATTTGGATGTTCAGTGCATCTGTTGAATCCAATTAATATCAAACTTTTAATCGCGTAACTATTGATATTGCTGTTGAAGAGAGAAAAAAAAAGTACAGGTGATGGTTGGTGGGAAGTTTTTAACTAATTTGTGCCACATAAAACATTTTATTCACTTTAGAAAGTAATCATTTCCATCCTTAAATCATGAAAACTGCTCTCCTTAACTGGATAACGATTGAAACCTTAAGAATCATTTTATGCTCAGGAGAATGAATCGAACTTCTTCGATTTCAAAATCTCTGACGATTGGAAATATGGATCTGAAATTCTTCGGTACCAAATATCAAAGATGGAAAGGAACAAAATGTAGTAGCAGATATTGTTAACCAGCTAACAATTGAATTTAATTGTTATTTTAATTTTAACCGCTCCGTATGATTATTAGTTAAATATTGGATAAATGATTTGATTTTGATTTTACAGTGAGGAGATGAATGTCAGTTGCTTGAAATGGTTATTGAAATACCGAGATAAGTTTAACAGAAATTTTTTAGTTAGCTTCTAAGTGAAGAAAGGAAAAAAGCTTTAGCAATATTATGAGAAAAAATCCATAAAAAATTTGACAAATTTAATCAATAAAATAGCTTGCTGATATGATAATTGATGCGATACTTAATAAACAGCCTGTCCTTTCATTTCCGTTATTCTTTTAGTAATTTTTAGCCGAAACATAATCATCATGCAACATTGCAAATTAATTCATACATAAATTGTATATCTAATCATTAAGAGATTTCACGATATCCTCATGATAGTATAATTTCAGAGAAATTATCTAAAAAAAATACATTTAAACTATTCAGTATATGGTTTTTTTACAATTGGATGAAATCCGACAGCCCAGTTTTGTTGGGGCCTAAATAAAGATAATGACGATTTCGAGCAGCGAAGCGAAATAATTACTGTTACATCTTCGGAAGAATGACATTTTTCATCTCTATTTAAACTTTGCTTTAGTTAAGAATGAATTTGTGAATTTGTTTAGTTTTATTCGCAATTGCGCTTAGCTTGGCCGACTAATACAAATACCATGTTAGCTTCATCCACTGTTCCATCCTTTTGCACTGTTTAAGTCCATATTTGTCATCTTAGTTGAGGTAATTTTTTGGTTTAGAATGAGTAGGGACCTGATATTATTGGAATCTAATCGATAGTTTCTTTATCACTGTATCACATAATGCTAACTTGCTGATCCGTTTTATGACATTCACTTGATAATTAAATTTCAGTATTTAAAAATTTGGAATACCAGATCTCCAATTAAAACTTCTGGATTTTCAAATTCGGAAACTCTTATGAATCAGCTCTGATCGAAGTTGTTATTTCGAAATTTGCATTCATTCGGGAACCTTCTTGTCAACATCATTCTGGTAATATCAATTTTCAACAACATTGTTAGCTATTTTATCATCGCGGAATCGACTCTTCACAAATTTTCAATAACTGGACAAATTGATTATAACAGAGGATGGAAGGGATGCAATATAATTGAAAGTTGTCAATAAATGTGCTTCCAATGATAGCTTATCTTTTCGATTAGAGAATAAAAAAGGTTGAGGAATGCTTTTGATGTGAAGTGTGTGAAATGTAAAGTGCCCTGATTTACCATCCACATTTGACCTTAATTTAAACTTCTTTCTCATCCAAAAAGGTGCATTGATGCAAATTGGTGGTGTTTAAATTTAGACATCACAGATATTTTCTGTCTCTCGTTCTGTGAGTGAGAAAAGAGACAGATGGCTTTTGAAAATAATTTACTAAGAACAATCTATATTTTCATCCAAAAACAGAATTTAATTAAGGGAACAAAAGGGATTAGTTGCATCCATTAGCGCGTTGTTTCCACTTTCCGCCTCAACACTTTGATTTATTTGTAAAGCCTCCCCTAACTGGGACCAGTCCTTACTCATTCACATTTAAAGTTCAAAGTTTGAACATTCATTCCAAATTTTTACATACAAATTGCTTTTTATGACGACATTATTATGTAAGGAAATCTTTAATGAAGAAAAAGGAAATTTTTGGAACTTTTATTTCACTTTAATCAATTTGAAATATCACTAAAAGTCACTAAAAGTCATTATAGCCTTCTTCTTTTTGATTTTGCACTTATCATTCTTGTAAAGAGTAAGGAATATGGTTCTAATTATGCTTAAACTTTTGCATTGTGTCATTTTCCAATCGGTAAAAGACAAATTGAGTGATAAATGAACTTTTCTAGAAGTAATTATAAAATCATTTCATTTTCTTTTCTTTTTTATATTTGTGAAACAAGAAATATTTTGGAGACCAATTGGAAATGAAATTGCACAGCCTATGAATGAATTACTTATAATTTTCAGTAGCCTATCGAATGTTATGATGAAAATTGAAGATTCACTGTTTTAATTTAATTTCCGTTCTCAACTGAAATTTCAAAATCTTAAAATATTATAACAACTCTTATTAATGTACCTTTGGAAGATGAGAGTAGAGACAATTCATTAAATGAGAAGGAGAGTGAATGTGAGATTCATTAATGGGCATGAAAGCGGAAGAGACGATTTATTAAATGAGTGAAGTCTTTATTTCAAATTCTGGTTAGAAATTGAATTTATTCACTCCACTTAAAACGATATAAGAAGAGACGAAATTAAAAATTAATTCAGTGACTAGAAGAAAAAGATATTAAATCTACTTTACTACTTTTTTCTTATTGATATAAATGGTTTAAATTCTATGCATTATATTTAAAAAATTAGTTTTAAATCATATAAGCGAAATGCTTGGAAATATTTCTTGGTTCTTTGGAACTTTATTCCACAACTAATTAGAAATCAAAGTAACAGTTCATTTTCATCCCACTTGTGAATAGTATTTATTGTTTTAAATTTGATCAATATTTTAACGCTTCCATTACTCATAATTTTTATTTGTTACTGGTTCCGGATGCTGGTAGAAACAATTAATGAATAACAGCTTGCACCGGATATTTCGCATGCCCATCATTTGAAAATGAAATTACTACAAATGGCCATCCTAATTCATTCATTTAACATCGCTCTATTCATTTCAATTTATCATTTAAATTGTTCTTTTTTCTTGAGTAGCAAAATTTTAAATTTATTATTATTAACTGGATCAATTATGATGAACACCTACCTGGTCGATATAGTATGTTGATACCGAAAAAAAGACATTTCGTCTCAGAAAAAGGCATTTTGTGGAAACCTGAAGATTGCGTCTAATCGATAAAAATTTATTAGCTTGAAAAGTGGGAAGTATTGTCAAGTGCATGGTGATTCGTGCTCAGGGAGATATTCTTGACACGAAATGAATCATATCATATCTTTTTGCTCTAGTAACGATGCTAATTCAAGCAGGAACTAACTTTATGATTACAGGTTAGTGCAAGTAATTTAATTTTTGAAAAATAATTTAATATTTCTACAAAATAAATGTTTACATTGTAAATTTTGGCAAAAACGTGTAAATAATCAAGGGAGAATTGAACTTGTTGAAGCCTAACTTCATGGAATGATGTTGTAATAATGCGAATAATCATTTCTATGGATAATTAACTGAAAAATCAAAAGAGAGCCATCGATACTCATCAAATTTCTTTTCACAATGTCAGCCTAACGAAACCCTTCATAAATTCAAGGGAATTGTCGTGAAATTTCTTGTCCACTCTAGCTATCTCTCCAAACAGTGCAAGTTTCAGACTTAAACTGAACATATTCCATATATAATTTATCTTATCATCTGCTATTAACATTTGCAGCATTCTTGTGGTTTTTTTAAACGTTAACCATCTTGTAACTCTTCAAAGTGGCAATTTTTGCTCTCAAATATCATTCCTCTCGTAATTAATAAAAAGATTGTCAATTTTATCCATAATCATAAAATCAGCCATAAATTACTTAAAAATTATTTTAAATTTAATGAAATAACATATTGTAAATAGTTATTTTGGAAGAGAGGAAAGGAAAAACCAATACTTTGTGTGTTCTATATGGTAAATTTTAGAAAAGTTTTATTTAAATTGATGCTATTACTCCAGGGAATACTGTACAAATAGCAAGCAGGAAAAAGGAATTAGAATGCATCCTGCAGCCATTTAATTTACGGATTTGGGGATGACATCGTTGAGTGGTTTGGTTCTACGTCAGATATTATTCATTCTGCTGCACAAACAACTTCAACTACTGGAATCACTGGAAACTCTCATCAAACTTCTTTTAAATAGTTTGCTTATTCATAAGTAATTCTATTTCCTTACTTTTACGTTCATTTATTTGATATTGGCTTAATTGACTAAATTTTGTCTCAGACTAATCTGTCAAAGAATTTATTTTCTATCATCAACTTTTCCATCACTTATTCCTTATTGATAACCAACATTTATTTTATTGATCGTAAAAACTTCCATGCAGCTTTCTTTATCATTTTGATATTGCGCTACTGCATTGATGTTGCACCAAAGTACATCAGTTAAGGAATAATAAAAGCATATGATAAGAAACGAACGACTCGAAATGTGGTTAACCTTTGAAACGTGAAATACGCTAAGTGAGGTGAGTCATTTTTCCCCTTATCACCGCCATTTCATTAAATTCGCCTCTTAGGATTTATTGTCATCCACACATAAATAGTCTACCTGGTACTGTAAGATCAAAAAATTGCTGTAAATAGCATTTTATCAGTGTAAAGTAAAAAGATCTTTTTAAAGCTGCAAATAAGAAAGTTTTGTAAAATTTAATAAAACCATTGATAAAATTATACTAATGAGATTATAATTTTAATGCAACCGTAACAGATCACAAAATGTGTGATTTTCATTTTTCTAATTTAATATGTCTTATAGTAATGAGTTTAACTTACTAAAATTTTATTTTATTATTTCTGAAAAACTGAACATAAGAAAGAGATGAACTTCCTTCAACACAAAGATCAAAATTTAATATTTTTGAAGTTAGAAATGTTTTTAGGTCGTTCAAAAAATTTTATAAACTATCACGAGAAGTAATCCAAAAGTCTGAATTTTCCAAATGAAAGTTAGTATCATTTGAGAATTTTAATTTCATTTATCCCTTCTAACAGTCTTTTTTTGTTAAAAAATAACATATGCATTAGGATTTACTTAAGAATGTCGAAACAAATTTAGTGTAATCGAAAAAATCTAACTTTTTCTTGATGATTACACCTTATATTATGACTATGCTTGACAGACTATTATTGAACTACAACGTGATTTATCACGTGAAAAATTTGAGATCTCACTTGATCTTTTCGTCATACTTATCATTTTGTTCTAAAGCAAACACTTGGTAGCTAGGAGATTTTCTCTTATCATTACGCATCTCTCACTTTTGATAAGAGAGATTCAAGAAATTCTAAACAAGTTCTCCATATCAGTCCAATATCCCATTATAATGGTAAGATTGGCTTGAGTGAGTGACACTGGTTGGTCTGAAAAATGCATAAAATGAGAAATTTTTCGTTTGCAATTCGGTTAAAAGAATCAATTTCTGTTATATTCTGTTCCTATCTGACGAAAAGAAATTTTCACAAATTGGATCGATGGCTCGTCCATTCATAACTATTATAATTGTTATTTTTCATTTCTTATCAGTAATTTCTCTATTAATCTCCCAACAAAAATATTGCGCAATTTGTAGGAATACACAAAAAGCAAAAAGTACAAAATAGAATGAGTCGAATTAGTATAAAGTTGTTTAAATTTTGTCGTCTGAAGAATTGTCAAAGCATTCTTCATAAGAAGGATATAAATAAAATTTATAAGAAAAAACCTAGCAGAATTCTTGCTTGGAAAGTCAAAACTTTATGCAAAAATAATTTGTGCTTTATTGCAGCATCAGAAAAGACTATCAAAGTGGCGGAAGAAATTTCAATAACTGTTGTAGATGCAGTGATAGCCAATAAATATCCTGTAGAGAGGTGTAAGGAAGAAATGTGTGTTGGATCAGGATCCGGCTTGTGCCGTTTAAGTGAATTAACTTCAGCTCATGGCTTCACCAGACAACTGGTACATTTTCTTTCTATCAAAAAGATAAAATACTGATGAAATAGTAGAAGATGGTTGATTCATGTTTCCACATTTCTGCATTTCAATGAGAAGGACGCAGGTATGAAAATAAGTTTGTCGAGAGAAAAAATAGGTGTTATAATGATAGAGCCCAATGAATTTGACCATCTCATGACGTGTACTCTATTTTTAAGTTTCTTAAATCATCACAAAACAATTTATATCGAATGGGTGGTAGAGGAAGGATGCATAGGATCTCGGCAGTTAAAATGACAGAAGTCAGGTGAAAGTTTGTACTTCAGGTTCATCATATGGCTCTACCGCATATCACTCTCTTGCTTGCTGCCATATGCTATATCGTTGTGGGGAGTTTGTCGCTTACAGCATTTCGTTACATTGACGACCATATAGTGGTAGATGGCAGTATACTGGCTGAGTAAGCATAAACAAATTTTTTGCTGAAGTTAAATCAACTGATCTGATGTTTCTAGTTCTCAGTCTTTCCATCCATGCATCATAACGAATGCATGTTAAACGGCTGGAATCTTTCAGATTTCAGAATCCGCAAGAATTCATTGCAGCAAATTAGTTGTCGATTCGTTGCACGAATTTCTAAGCCTATATTTTTACTGATTTCATGAAATATGAAATGTTTCTGATCCATTTTGACTGAATATAAAAAAATATGATGTGTAAATTATGGTTTTCAGAATTTTCAGAAAATTTTCAGTTTAAAAGTTTGAAAGGTTATGATAAATTACAGAATGAAGGAAAGTTTAATTGCTGAAACAATTCGACCGCGCCCAATAAAGGAACGAAGGGCAGATCTGGAAAAATCACTAGATAATTACGCTTCCAAACTTCACAAAATATTCCAGAAATACATCCACCAATCGTTTATGAGAAGGCCAACAATAGTACGGCTTTTTTTTAATTGAGTGCTCATACAGATTCATGAAGATTTGGAAGTGACACGTGTGACACACCACTGTGGCAAATATATGCGTTATGATGTAAATATACGCAGACAATCTTTCAGATTCAGATGAGACGTCTAAATCTGTAGAAATGAAATTTGCGATATTTTACAGAAATAATTTTATAGTAATATATTTGATATGATAAGCCGAAAGTCATTCAACAGCAATTATCATTCACCGTGCTTTTTTTTTCATTTGTTTTTATTTTAAAGATAGAAAGATTACATGAAAAGGAGCATGCAACTTCAAAATTAATGTGGAATTTATTTTTTGCAGCAACTGCTCTGACAACCGTAGGTATGCTTTCCATAATACACCTTATTTTATAAATGTTTCAAATTAATCTTATAAATCTTTCTCAAAAAATCAAAATTGAAGAATTGAAATTTGTTTTTGAAAGAAGTTTACTAGGAGATTTATTATTTTTTCAGACATTATAGTTGTTTTCAGGATACGGCAGCAATGCTGCGGATTCATTTTTTGCCCGTTTGTTTATCATTGTCTATTTATTTATCGGTATTCCACTGTTTCTTGTCACAATTACTGACTTGGTAAGTTTTTATTTAAGTGTTAGCGAAAGTAAAACTTGCGTAATATCCTCGTAATCAAAGATGTCTAGTTCAGACTTGATATCCTTACTATTCTGAATTCAGGAATCATTGAGGAACAATCTAATTATCAACATTATCAATTGCAAAGATGATCTAAAACATCAGTCGACTACTTTCAGGCCAAATTTTTTACCGAATTCATCAATCGGTCATATGCAGAAGTGTTGAAGTATAAAGTTATTACAAGTCGTAAACTCAAAAGTCGTTTCGAAGTGCCAATCGATGAAATTATTATTTCTGGTGGCGAAGATGAAGTACCATGTTTTAACTTAAACAGCAATTCTTTTAATTTAAACAGTTATACTCTGGGAGAAAACGTGAGGCAAAATAATTATAAATTAATCTTTTGCTCATTATTCTGACATAAATGTATACAATGTAGTGGCTGAATAAGCCACCCGAATTCCCTTTCATATCTACCTGGCTACTTTCAAACTTTCGATAAATATTGATTGAAAGATCAGATATTCCTTTACAGGTGGCGGAATTTTTATGGACTCACTTGGAAAATGCGCATTTTGTCGAAGTACCTTTTGTTATAATCTATATTTTGTTGTTTGCATATGTAATCGTTGCAAGTTACCTCATTTCATGGATCGAAGGATGGAGTATTTATGATGGTCTTTACTTTGTTATAATCTCCATGCTTACCATTGGTTTCGGAGGTATCATATCTTACTTCAGGTTGAAAAGTATGAGCATAATGCTAAACTGGAGCTTCTGACTGGAATCATTTTATTTTGCATCAGTTCAACCAGCTGATTAATAGGCTACCTTCAGATCCTCAATGATTGTATGATTAAAATTAACTTAAAAGTCGGAACCGGATTTCTTTATAGTATTGCAAACTATTTCAGATTTAGTACCTCGAAACCAACCGTTCATATTGCTCACATTATTGATCGTGTTATTCGGGTTGATCTTAGCTACATCATTTATTGATGTAGTGGGCTCCTACTACATAGACCGGTTACATTTCTTTGGACGTAATCTTGACCTTGAGGTATTTCTCTTCTTCCTAGTCTTTGTTTTCTTTTGAGTGGAATAGTTTTGTTTTTTAAAGAGCTAAGCCAATTATAAGGAGCAAAAAAAGAAAAAAATGGATTAACTGATGCATCAATTTGCGAATATTTCTCATCATTAAAGCGATATCGTAGTTTTCTTGTATATAAATTTTGAGAAATTGCTAATTGATAGCATGATTCGCTGGAATGGCTCAAAAAAGTGAAACAGCGACGTTTAATCGCAATGAAACGTGAAGCGATGCGTAAATTATTCGAAACCGTCGCTGCTCTGCAACATATGGAAATTGGTAGGAATTTCTTGGAATAATTGCGTCAAATTTATTATTTACTAATTAAAATAGCTTATAAACTATCTTTGGCTTTGCTAGCAACCGTTACTTTTGATTCCGAAATATATAGCTGTATAGTGTTGCAAACTGAAATATAATGAAGAGAGAGAGAGGAAGGGAGAAAGGAAGGGAGGGAGGTAGGGAGAGGGAAAAATTGGAGACTGCTACTTGCGAATATTTGCAATGAATCATAAGCTGCATGTATTTGCATTTACTCTGCGATATGAACTGTTATCATTGCTGTTACAGTAATACTAATAGAAGAAATATTTACAGATTTCCGATTACAACATAATCGAACCGAAATGAAGAACACTTTGTTGATGAGTATATTAATTGATATATTTACTTATATGATAAATTTACTGACATTAAATTAGAACTGTTTCATTGACAACATAATAGTGGACAGATTAAAATAGTAAAATGATTAAAATCGTGAGCATCTACCAAAAAGCCTTTTTGAGGAATTGCAATTCCTTATCTAATTAATTAAGGTATTTCTCGACAGTTTTCCCTTGATCATTAAAGTGATAAGGTTCAGCAAAAGTAGAAAATATTTCATGTAAATACACTTTACACCAGCACTTATATACTAATTAACTTCTTATCTTTATTTTTATTTCTAGGTCCTCCTCATCCTCCACGAAATTTAAGAGCAATTAATTCAACAGCAGATTCTGTAGTTCTTACATGGGATCCTCCAACACATGATAACGAAGGGAAATGTTTCTGGTATACAGTTGCTTATCAGATAAGGTTTGTGTTCCCCCTTATTTGTCTTCAAAATTATTAAAATCTACACCTTAGGCTATTTGCATACAAGTTTGGAAACAATTTATAATTTGATTAATCTAGAACACCTCGAAGTCGAAATAATCCAGCAACAGT